ACCACAGGATCACCTCTATCAACGTCACAAAATACGTCTTTATTGTTTGTCGTGATAATTGTTAATATAGTTTGGACGAGGCGTCAGCAGTTCCAGTCAAGACTACATCCCGTCTTTTTTCACTGTATCCAGAACCATCGAAGTGCTATAAAAATTTTTATTGATTAATTTTTTGTCAAGCTGATCAATGAACACCGTGCCAGGGTTGCGAAAACTCCGTCCCTCTTGAATTACTTTACTATTTTCATCCAAACCCACCATTTGAAATTATATATCGATTAGTCTGGAATTGGAATCGCAGTTGGTCCCGTAACGAGTATCCCAAGTGAATTATGACACCTAAAAGTGCATAGCTTTTGCCGTAATTTTAATTTAAGATCTTCAAGATACAAGTGACCTCACTCGCCATGTCTGTCACTATCACCATGCTTTCCTGAAAAGCCTTTATTTGTCTTGCTCAATACACTTTTTACCTGAGCCACTGATGTTAACTGACACTTCAGAAACACATTGCACTATTTCAAGCACATGTAAATCATCTTTCCGGTAAATCGCTGATTAAAGTACATGATAGGTAAATTTTTTGTTGAAGGTAAGTAGCATAGAAACAGCAGCCTAACTGAGTTCCACGTATTATATCCATGAAGAGCACTAACCCATCAACCCGTTCATTAGTTAAGGGTCTAATTACGAACCTTGAATTTGCTAAAGATTTATGACCAGTGCGAATGCGAGTGCTCTTACAAGCTGACGCATCTCGTGGAGAGTTAGTAAGGAAACATTCGAAAAAATTCAATATTGGACCAGTGACTTGCAAGTGAAGAATGGGGTGTACATTTCATCACTTCAATTATTGATGACGTAGGTCTTCTTTCGTTTTCACTCCCTTCTTTGTTCCTCGCTGTTCAAAAAAATCAATATTTTCATCCGGTTGAGGAATGCAGACAACGGTTAAAGTTTCTAGAAATTTGGCAAATTATCGTATTCTGGAAGGTTTCATTTTTAGGCGTTTACGTTAGCATCGATCATATGTGTCTTGGACCTCTAAATGGCTGGCTAACGCATCCTCAAAGACTACTGCTCGAGTTTCATTGTCATTTAGGCTCTGATCTGCGGCTTTAGCGCCTAACGCATGATACCTGCTGTGAGAGAATCAAATTTGAAGGATTTTAGGCCTTTTCTTTGCTTCCGCAGAGGAAACACTCCTAAACATTTGCTGAGAAATTCCATATTTCCTGAGCTCTAACACTTTTATATTGTTACAGATAGGATTTATATCGCATTTTGCAGCGATATAAAATATCGACGCTGATTTCTTTCATTTGTGTGCAGCCAAGCTGAAGAAAGTTTCTCGAGTTTTTTTCACACATGGCGTCTAATCTGCTAAAAGAGAGCATCTGACTGAAACGCTGATTCGCTTTGAAAGTCTTCTGCATCGTGTGCTTATCCGTAGGGTGCAAAAGAAGTGCAAAACTTCTTTACCTTAACGCTATTTTTGTGGGCCGGAGTTAAAACCCAAATAAAGTGTCAAACTTTTCCCATCTTTTGAAGATCATCAACTTTTTCAAGGCTATTTTTTAAAGTTTGGGTGAGGGTAGCTCAACCATTAGTGCGCATAGAGATAATGAGTTTCGTTTTGGTTAGAGTAACCCCCTTTCTTCCCCTGTAGATTGATGAATAAGTACCTTATGTGAAAAGGAAGAAGGGAACTTCATGCTGTATACAAAACATTCAAAAATAACCACAACACTCCTGGCTAGCCTCGTATAAACACTCCAGTGGCATCAATGCTGTACCGCAAGCTCAAAGAAAACGGATGCTGCACATACCGTAATCATGGAAGGAAAAAGGGAAACTATTCCTATTATTATTATTGCCTTATTCCCATTGTTATTGTTCCTATTTCTCAAAACGCAATTGTATAAATCATTAATTTTCGTTAACTTCTTTAATCCCGGAATGATTTCTTCGGGTTATGATCGATGTCTGAAAATTTACTTTCAATGAATTCTGTTCGGTAATCAATCTTCAATTTTGTTATGACGACTTTGGACGTATCAGAATAAAATTAAAACAGACCTATTAATCTAATCCAACACTTGTTTAACTATTTCGACTGTTTTAGCTGTTTAACTATCCATTTTCAAAGCCCAATATTCTTACTTGGTTAGGATAGCTTCAAGACGGCTTTCCATAGGGCTTAGACCTCTGCCAATTGGCACGTTCAGCGAACTGAATTTAAGACGTGAGGTGTTCAGTATACCTGAAAAATTGTATACGTTTCATACAATCTAT